AATTAAATTAGATTACGATATGGAGGAACTCTTGATTCAAATATTCAAATGTACGAACTGAGATGAACTTTGGTTTTTTACGTTAGGTTATAGTGAAAAAGGATTTGTCTTGAGTGAACGGTTTAGGTTAGGTTAGGTTGGATTAGGTTATAATGGAATCATCCAATTAAATTAGATTACGATATGGAGGAACTCTTGATTCAAATATTCAAATGTACGAACTGAGATGAACTTTGGTTTTTTACGTTAGGTTATAGTGAAAAAGGATTTGTCTTGAGTGAACGGTTTAGGTTAGGTTAGGTTGGATTAGGTTATAATGGAATCATCCAATTAAATTAGATTACGATATGGAGGAACTCTTGATTCAAATATTCAAATGTACGAACTGAGATGAACTTTGGTTTTTTACGTTAGGTTATAGTGAAAAAGGATTTGTCTTGAGTGAACGGTTTAGGTTAGGTTAGGTTGGATTAGGTTATAATGGAATCATCCAATTAAATTAGATTACGATATGGAGGAACTCTTGATTCAAATATTCAAATGTACGAACTGAGATGAACTTTGGTTTTTTACGTTAGGTTATAGTGAAAAAGGATTTGTCTTGAGTGAACGGTTTAGGTTAGGTTAGGTTGGATTAGGTTATAATGGAATCATCCAATTAAATTAGATTACGATATGGAGGAACTCTTGATTCAAATATTCAAATGTACGAACTGAGATGAACTTTGGTTTTTTACGTTAGGTTATAGTGAAAAAGGATTTGTCTTGAGTGAACGGTTTAGGTTAGGTTAGGTTGGATTAGGTTATAATGGAATCATCCAATTAAATTAGATTACGATATGGAGGAACTCTTGATTCAAATATTCAAATGTACGAACTGAGATGAACTTTGGTTTTTTACGTTAGGTTATAGTGAAAAAGGATTTGTCTTGAGTGAACGGTTTAGGTTAGNAAGAAAAATAAAATTTATGTATAATATGTTACAAATGTATTAGATTAAACAAAATAAAACATTAATTGTTTACGTTCGTACACTGTAAAAAATTCGCGAAGTAAATGTGCAGTGAACATAAAAATTTTATGTTTTAGGTGACCATTAGTATAGTAGCAAAATTTCATTTTTAAACGGACACAAACTCTGACTCTAAAAATATAGTTGTAAACAAGGAGCCGTTCGTAATAATTCTAGTAATTAATTACTTAATTAAAACTTCTCCAATGAATTTTGTATGCATTATAGTACATAATTATAACGATCATGATATTTGTCACCTCTCTAAACGGCCACATTTTTCTGTTGCAATTTTCGCTGGCCGTTATTACACCCTTCACCACTAACTTCAGTCGACACTTTTTATTTTATTGTCGTCAAAGAATAAAAGCGTATATTTACCGAATTTTCGTTAGCATAAACACCATCACATTCGTCATCTAGGGGCTCGTTGTCGTGTCCACCCCCGATGGCCGTGTGGTTTACCATGGCAACAATGGCCACAGACATGTTCGTTCGCATCACGTAAGCGTTCGCCATCCCCAAGAAAAGCATGAACGTAACCACATGGCGTGATCCGATCCATCCTGAAACAAAAATAACAAAATTCTAATTCATCTTAAATTACAAAAGGTTCTCTCTAGGTATTGATTTAAAACGCGAAAACCTTTTCTTGACGTTTAGATTGTTTGTACATCAGAATTTCAATTATATTAAAAGAAATGGCGCACATGTTGAAACCAGTTCAATATTTAAAACGTTTTTACATCTGTGCCCTGTTTTTTTTTATTAAATATATGTTTTTAAACAAAACAATTGTATAAAGTTTTCATCATCTTCGTCAACACAAGGCCGTCAGTCCTAAGACTGGTTCGGCGCGCACCTCCACTTTTTCTCATGTGAATTAATCTTTGCATATCCCTAAAACTATAAAAAAAACTTGGGTGTTCATTCTCATCAGCCACTAATGCTAGTGGGCGGGAAGTCCCTCCGGACTACGCCGGAAGGTAGGGTGGAAGGCCCTTTTCAACCTCCTTCATAGAATCTTGGGAATGGGTGGGTGGTTCGGGCGAGATGAGACGGACGAAAGGAAGACAGAAAAGAATGAAAGATTATCTAATATTTATTAATATTACTACCCCAGCATTTAGTATCATTATTTGCATTTAACCAGAAAAGTTTAGAGTTTAGTCACTTATAATAGTACGAGGGCGGTTCAATAAGTACCCGTGTTTGAAGACATAGGACGTTTCTGAAAGAAATTGGTGTTGTCATCGTGTGCTGCCGTCTATAAAACCACGCCAAAACGAATTTCAGACTGATTGATAGGTTAGTTTGGATTTGGCAGCCATTCGTGTTTCGTTATTTTCGCTAAGATGGAAAAAGAGCAGTATCGTTCGGTAACTCGCTTTTTGTTTTTGGATGGGAAAAAATGCGAGAAGATGAAAACAAAGTTGNTTTTTTTTTGGTTAGGTTATAGTGAAAAAGGACTCCTTGATTTGTTTTGAGTGAAGGATTTAGGTTAGGTTAGTTTGGGTTCTAATGGAATCATCAAGTTAAATTAGGTTACGATATGGAGGAACTCTTTATTTAAATGTACGAACTGAGATGAACTTTGGTTTTTTACGTTAGCTTATAGTGAAAAAGGACTCCCTGATTTGTTTTGAGTAAAGGGTTTAGGTTAGGTTAGGTTGTGTTATAATGGAATCATCAACTTAAGTTACGACTTGGGGGAACTCTTGATTTAAATGTATGAACTGTGATGAACTTTGGGGTTTTTACGTTAAATTATAGTGAAAAAGGGCTTCCTTATTTGTTTTGAGTGAAGGGTTTAGGTTAGCTTAGGTTGAATTATAATGGAATGATCAAATTAAGTTAGGTTACGTCACGGTGGTGGCCAGATTAAAATATATAAATATTATGCACCGTCTGGCCTTTGCAACCAGCGCTTAAAAAAATGTAAGTGCTATGCAATATCGACAACGATACTCATCCGTTCGATTAAGGACGGATTCAACCAGTTAATTAAATATCGTAGGCAATAATAAAAATTGGTAGGTACAGTCACATTTTAAGTTGTATCAAAGGTAGTTGTTATCTATTTGTGTCAAAATCAAACTCAACATTTGCTGTCAATGATCAAAATATTATGTTTATAGCAATAAAAACTTTTGTCAATTAATGTAACATTGTTAAAAAAAAAAAGAAACAATTTTCCAACGAGGTTTCGTAATATCATCTGAAAAACCGATTTTAGGAGTACACTGAAACCTGTCAAAATACTTCGGTAGATTTACCTTGACTAAAAATAAGTAATAAATCAGGTAACTGTAACAAGACAAAAACGTTTCCACAAAATCATTACCGATTGTATATTATAAAGGTAGGTAGCAGTGAACAAATTAAAAATTGCAATAACAATACAAGCAATTTTTGTAGCCTATCAAACAAAAAGAGAATTTTTATAATTTGACTAAGGTTAATACTCCAAATTCATTTGTTTTGCTCTTAAAATCGATTCCACGGAGGTCATTAACCGGTTATTGAAAAGTACATGCAAAAACGCTGGTCAGTCATTACATATTGATTGATTACTAATATTTTTAAGACTAGATCATTACTGCCAAAATCATCTATTTTGAATGTCAAGGTGCGAGGTGGTAACAATTTTGTGATTTTCTAAAAAAAAATAGTAAAATTTGTGATTGTGCCTCGATTACATTTTAAAATCACGGGATTGACACGCTTCAAACGCTACCTTCTGTTTCTTTTTTTTTGCTTTGTTTAAACCAGGTAATTGGGTCTTGGCTCACGCGATCGATCATTCAGTGTATAGCTGCGTATCGCGTCATCGGGGTAACTATTTGGGAGTGAATTTGATTGTGTCAATTTTCACAATTCAAAAATAGATCAGACTTTAGGTGACGACGTTGCTGCTCGAAATAGAACACTTGTTAAAGCCCTCAGCGTACAGTCCGCTAGAAAGACGCCACCATCATACCAAATTTCATAGATTTAAACGCATATCAACTTAGCACGATAAAGTTATAGTTCTTGTTTCTATCTTTGTCGCTTATTAATCGCTGACTTGTTACCAAAAAACCAAAATTTTGTCGTTTCCGCCGGTTGTTGACTTCATATCAAGCTGGTACTACACTTATCATGCGTCGCAATACTGTAAGGGTCGTAATTTGTCTCTGAAGAATAGTTCTTTTACCTACTTTGTCGCGAGTGCTAAACTAGCTAGGTCTACACACTACAAATACCGTGACGACCATAATTTGATTTAACGATTTACTTAGCCGATTTTGTCACAATCCCAGCCTCCTGCTGACTAACGAAAAACAAGCAGCAGAATATACCATAATATCATTACCATTTATTTTAACGAAACAGTTTTTTGTTGATTGAGATTAAAAGCTTATGATGATGATATTAGGATATCCTATGAGTGACGTCCCTCCGGCCGCTTATCGTCGGTCTGTTGAAAGTTGGGCTCGTGACAAAATTGGCTAAGGTACTATTTTTCAGCGACAAATTATAGCGTCTTCGGTATTTTTTATGATATTTCTTTTTCTGGATATGCAAGGTGCAGTGCGAGCTTGACTGTTCACCAGTCGTTTTTCGCTGATCAAGTGGATTCGAAACAAAATCAATAAAAAAACCATCTTTCAGAGACAAATTATAGCATTTTCTACGTCATTTTTATTTCGAGATATGCTATGTGCAGTGCCAGCAGTTTGGTATGTCAAATCTGTCATCTCTGACTGAAGCGACAAATTTTTAGATTTGGTGACAAATCAGAAATATAACTTTCTCGTGCTAGCTCGATATCGATTATATTTTGATATTGAAACCATGTCGATCTTCCGCAACGGACTGTACACTGACCGTTTACCACTTATATAAAAGCGCCTATGATCTATTTAAAAAAAATTTTAGTTTGCGAGCCAAAGTGACAAAAACGAATACTCTCTCGCTTTGTACGACTTTTCGGAATGGTACTTACCTCTCCCAGGCCTTGTATGAACCTGATGACGATCAGCCACCAGACGCCCCATTGTGACGATATCGGGACCAGTAGACCAAAGACAGAATTAATCAGCATGCCGACGCCGAGGAAGTAGAGCGCCCCGTATTTTTTTGACAATATACCGAATGGTATTTGCGTTATTACGTAACCATAAAAGAAGGAACTCAGTATGTAGCCCTGCAAATCCGTCTCCCATATAAACTCTCCATCTGATGTGCGGCTGGAGTTCTGTAACAAAAATCAAATGGCATTTTAAGAACATTGGTTTTAACTTTACGCGCCAATGAAACTCTTTTCAAAATGATATTTTCTAAGTAGGTACTGCGCGGCCAATTTAAGAAGGCGATATCCGACTGTAAGTAAATCGTTAGATCAAAAGTGTATTTTTATGAATGAAGGTAGTTAATGAGTAAAGCAAAACCAAGACTGTCTCAGTTTTGATATTGGAATTGGTCTGGCTTATTCGGTCTTTAGTTTTGGTCTTGCGTGTTAAGTTTTGGTCTTGCTCATTTAATCTGATGCGTGCGTTACTTTAATAATTCTTCTAAGCACAAATTTTTCTGTTTATCGACACAAAAAACTGTTTTAAATGCTGAAAGTTTCTGTCATACATGTGAGCCTGTCATGACTTTTAAAGAAAATAGTGCCGATAGTTGTGAAAGTTTTGAAAACTCGAGAACTTACCCTTTCTATAACGCATAAATTGAACTTTTAGCGAAAAAAATTGCACAAGGTACAAGGTATGTTTTATAATGTATATGTTTAATATGTTTTATCCCAAAAATAGCATATATTAAAATTGCTTCAAATAGTTTAACTCATAAATTGACCGTAAGTAGGTAGTAATGGTCTCGTTTGGTCTTGCGTATTTGGTGTCTTTGAATAAAATGAGAAATAACGAATAATATGGAAAAATTTTAACTGACTTTTGCCAGTGAATATGCCTTGATTTCAACTTCGAAACAAAAACATATCTAGTTTCAATCTCTATTAATAATGAGCCTAAAACCTTTTAATATGTTTAAATGATAATTAAAACTTTAAAATTGCATTTATTTCAGACAATTATAAATATTATCATTATATGATCAAGTAAAAACGACATTTTCACCTAATTTTTCATTTTTCCTCGATAACCATTTAGTGAATTTGAATAACCTTACGCTAAAGTGATTTTCCAGAGTTCAAGTTACTTATTATAAAAGTTTGAAATTTCTGGTAGCTTTTTTTCTGTTAATAAAAATAAATTTAATCTGTTCGGTTAACGAATCTCCATAAAATGACGTGTAAAATTACAATTTTTTAAAATTTCAATAACTTTTTAACGGTTTAGTGAATCGATTTGTAATTTTTACAGGAGTTTTAGAATTGAATGA